ATTATGACAAAATTTTTATAAAAATCTACGATATGAGAACGGCTACAATAGATAGATTTCTATAAAAATCTACCTAAAAAAAATTTTAATCCCAAATACGGAATTAAAAAATTTTTTTAATCTCAAATAATGGATAAAGAAGCTACATAAAAATTTTTTATTTCTTACAGAAATCGATTTTTTTTAAATACTGTAAATAGTAATAAGTATAATCGAATATTACTAACTGAAATGATTAAGTATTAAATATTAAATAAAATAAGTTAAATTTAATTATTGAATCAATGATTACAATAAATTTATTCATTTATTGTTATTATTCATTATTTATCATTTAATATTTATTATTATTTTGAAATTATAAATTATTTCGTGCTTGCGTAGTTCGTGTTCTACCATTTTGAACTAGAGAATTAGAGCTCACACAGCTTTATCTTCAATACTCTAGGGATAATCTTGTCGGAGAAATTACTAGAACGTAGATATAGGTCAAGTTTCAAGTTTGTATTTTAGTACGGTTTGTTTACATTCGTTATTCTTCCCAAAGTCCAAAATATATTGTTAGTATTCTAGTGTTTTGCGAGTGAAATTAGTATTTTTTAAACAATGTAGAATTATAAAAACTGAATATTAATATTAGAAAAACTTCTAATAAAACTACTAAGTATGCATTTATTTTTATTAATGATTTAATAAATATTTTGTGTTGAAAAAAATTACGTGAATAACGATCAAAATGTAAGTGTATTTATTTATATACAGACATACAGACAGGCGTTTTGTCATTTTTTATTCAACATTTTGACCTTTAATTGAAAATTTGGTGGTTATAGGTCTCAGGAAAATAAAACACCAGTCAAGAAACGTAGATTAAGTTTAACCGGCGAATTTGTTGATACTGACGATAGGGTTGAACGCCAACTTAGTGAGCTTTTATTGGAGTCACCAAGTAATAAATAACATAGTAAATCTCGTTACGGTTTGCTAAACAGTTCAGTTCATTTTATGAATGTTGACATTTTGAGTAAAAGTGAAAGTAATAGTCAATCTGAAGTTGAGACTGAAGGAACAGACAATGAGACCGAGTTAGATCAAAACCAAAAAGAATTTCATAACAAAATAGAAAATTCACCTCTTTTGAGTGAAACCTTTTTTACAATTGATGTGACTCAATCAACTGACAAAAATCTAATTGCTGAATGTAACTTTTGTCATCCAAAAAAAATAATTAGAGGCTCGACACGGACAACTTCAAATTATACATCTCACTTGGAAGTAAAAATAAAGTAACTTTTATCTTACTATACTATTTTCAATTTTCTATTTTATAGTTATGTCTGAAGATTATTGAAAGATTCTTTAAAGAAAATGTTTCTATGCACTTAAAAATTACTCTGATTTCAACTTTTAAAAAATTAAATCATTTTATTTTGAAATTGCCATAATCAACTTTAACATTTTTGAATTAATTTTTTCAAAGTAAATTTAAAATCGATTGTAACAACAAATTGTGGATTTTTCTCAATGAAAAAAAAATCAAATTATTTGCAAAATATTTAACTATCTTTCCTGAATGTTGTAATATTAGAAACTCATTTGATATTTAAATGAATTTTGTAAGTTTTTATGTTTTTATCATCATGTATCTATTATTTACTTAGAGAAAACATTTTGAAGAGTATAAAAAGTATTTGGAGCATAAGAAGCAATTTGATAAATAAAAAAAAAAGCCTCAATCGACAGAAGCCGCTGGTCATGTGTATTTGACCAAGAAACATTTGAGAAAAACGTTACGACTTATGTCTTGAAATCACTACTACCATTCAGTTCGGTTGAAGATCCACATTTTCGTAAAATCTTTGATGGTACGTAAAACTTACATAATTATGTTTAGAGTATAATTTTTTGTATTTTCACAATTCTTGTTCTTTATCGAATCAAAACCTAATTTGAATAGTAATCAGCAATAACGTCTTAATCAACATTTTTGAAAATATTTTTTGTCAGTTTCTTCATTACATAAACCATTTTTGAACTCCAATATGCCATTACGAAAATGTCAAAAATAAGTGTCGGTTAAAACGTTACTGCTAATTCAGTGATAAGCATATGTTCGTTATTTAACAATATTAAATATGTTAATGTCTAAAATGCTTATTCTTGCTGAAGAATTTCAAATTTTAATTTACACTTCAAATAGTTACACTTTGTGTTGAAAAGTTATAATTCCATTATTTTTTAGATCTCCAAATAAAGAAGCAGGATAACATCATCCATCACATGACTCGACATATATTAGAAAAACGTGTTAGTAAAATTTATAATGAAACCATGAACAACATTCGAAAAGATTTACTCTCTGTAACTCAAAAAAATGGCTATGGTTGTACCACGGCAGATGTTTGGACAGGAGGCTCACGTCGTTTTTTGGGTGTTACGGCTCATTGGGTAAAAATTTATTTAATTAATATTACTTATTATGTATAATTTTACCTCAGAACACTTTTCATTAGAATTTTTTTTAATTACATAAGAATTAAATTTTATGAATTTATTATTTTTAAATAGCTCGATTCAGACACTCTAGAGAGAAAATCTACTGCATTAGCGTGTCAACGCTTTTCGGGTACACACTCGTTTGATGCGATTGCATCTCTTTTATCGAGTATCCACTCATCATTTGGACTAAGACCCGATACAATTCAAGCAACAGTGACAGACAACGGAAGTAATTTTGTAAAAGCGTTTAAAGAATTAGGAATTCAGGGTTCATTTATTTCTCAAGATTCTGGACATACTGCAGGTATGAAATATATATTTAAATTATTATATAAATATATTCTTTAACTAAAATTCAGTTTCATCCAGAGATTGAGATTTTTTTGTAATTAATTACTAATTAGCACACACGAATTTTTTATTTTTAATTTTTCTCTCCGTTTTGAAAACCTAAAAAACTTTACTTATATTAATACCGATAAAAAAATATATTTATTTATGAGCAAAAATTTCAATGATCAAATAATCGATATCTAGATTTAATTATCTTCTATTTTTTCATTAAATAATAACGTACAAAATAATAATGATGTTTACTAATTGAGTGCACTTTCATATGTCAAGAAAAAATATTTCAAACCAAGAATCGCGCATGTAGTTAGAATATTTGCATATATGTCATACTTGACGAAATGTTTCATTATGTGAAAATAATAAAATGTTCAATTATATCCTTTAAATTAAAATACATGATAGTCTTGAAGTTAATCAAAGGTTGAAACTCGCAAAAAAACGGGCCACGATTCCTTATTGGTCGAAAATAAGGCGCGCGCGTAGCGCGCTATTTAAATTTCTAGTTATATGTTTATTATATATAGCGTTATTTTTATTTTATAGATCAACCTTCTGACGATTGGAGTGACACTGACAGTCAAGTTGCTGAAATGAGTGAGGAGTTTAGTGAAGCATGTGAGAAAATTTTACCGACTCATTACAGGTGTGCGAGTCATACTTTAAATTTAATAGCGTCAACAGACATTGTTAAAGCTATCAATACCGATGCTGACTTAAAAAGAAAACATGAAAGTGTTTTGAAAAAATGTAAGACTTTGTGGAAGTTACTACGTTCTGCGAAAAAGAGAGAAACTCTGAAATCTATCCTAGGTGTTTCCATTCAAAAACCCGTCATAACTCGATGGAATTTGACTTACGATTGCTTCGAGCAATTGATTAAACTTATAAAACGCGGAGCGTAGGTCGTGATGGGTTAGCGTTAGTAAACCCATCAAATATAACTAGGATGACACGCAAAATCGTGAAGCGTTCCACATTATTTAACAAATATAAATAATGCTGTGAAGCGGGAAAGAATGGGAGTTACGGATAATTATTACGTGAAGCGTTCCAACATTCACGTAACAGGATAATTGGTAGGAAAGGATTGAGAAAGGATTGTGGAGAG